CATTCAGTTTTTAAATAACATATCATTTTGTACATGTAATATTATATTCATAAAGCCACATTGTGAAATCGTACAGACTGAGCCACAAATCTTGCTGAATCTTTCCTTCTATTTCTGGAAGGGTTTGTAAAAGACACCAACGGTTCATGGATCTTAAGTTATGTCCATTTTCTCCTCCTTTCTCCGACTTTTAAGGAACCAATTACCACACATTTCATTTCAATTACCCGTGTTCCTGTTAAGAAATGGGATGTTTCTTGAATTATTGTTCATTCGATTTAGTTTCAAACAATATCCACTTTGATGTGTTCAAAATAATCAACGGAGCATTGAGTGTCATTGATGTACCCCAACATGTGTCTGCAGTTGTCATGAAAGCAAAGCCCAAATCAAAGGATATCATTTTGAACATGTATCGCTGCTCCTCTGATCATTAATCCTACCTTTGCATGTCCGATTGGAGCTTGTGAACTGAGCGCAAGGGGCTGTCATCAAAAGCTGGAGTGGCCCTGCGTGATACAGGGGTCTGGGGGTGTGAGAAATCCCCCAACGCAGCGCTGTGTGACCGGCATTTAAAGTGTGTTCATGTGATGTGCTGCAGAGCGATGTGGAGGGAGAGGAAGTGCCTCGAGCGATAAGACACCAGGGGACAGAAGCCCAATCAACCTTCATAATGCTATTTCTGTATATGCCTTTTATGTTTTTATATTGGCTCGAGATGGAAGTTTATGGAGGTATTTTTGAGAAAACGTCAGAGTAGAAGATGGACAGATGTCTTGTGGTGTCTGTTTGAGAAATCTCTGCTATTGTTTTATATTTAAACCTATTAGCACATGTTTATTTTGACCTTTTCCAACAAGTGAAAAATGGGCAGGATGGATACAGATGTAATTTGTCCCAGTTTTGGCTTGGATCCAAAATGACTGCGACTGGACGGGATTAGAATACACAGTGGCTTGCAAAAGTACAAATACAACATTATGTCACAACCACAAAAATGTAGATTTTAGTTTTGTTTATCTTTTATTTTTTAAATCCCACAAGAAAAAAGTCAACTTTAAAGTGAAAAGACTATTTTTCAATGTTCAGGGAAATAGCCCTGATGGTAGGTACAGAACACATCCATCCATTTGCAGACTCCAAAAAAGTTTTAAATTACATGTGCATCATACTGATTCTGTACAAATAGACCAACCATACGTAAAACAAACCCGAAACCCAAAACCACTCAATTTAATGTGTTTTTGAATAGCCCTAAATCACAGCAAGTAGTTATCTCAAAGGACTTTACAAAGCTATCCAACTCTGACACTCTTCCCTGTCCCTGCTGAAGAAAAGCAGACCCAGAGCTTGAGGCCTCCACCCTATATGTTGACACTGTGTGGGGCACAGAGGGGGAGGAGTAGTTCAGAAAACCAGCTCCTGTTGGACCTGCCCCGGTCTCGTCTCAAACTCGAGGAGCCCGGGTCTTTTCTGTTGCTGCCCCCAAACTGTGGAATAGTTTACCTCTGTTCATTTGTGCAGCTCTTTCATTAGAGGTTTTTAATTCTAGTCTAAAGACATTTTTTTACGCCTTGGCTTTTGATACCAATTGAGCTCTACCATTTTATGTACAGTACAGACCAAAAGTCTGGACACACTTCTGTTCAATGAGTTTCCTTTCTTTTCATGACTATTGCCTGTAGATCAATAGTCAAATTGGTCAAACAGCCCTTACACAGCCTGGTAAGGACCTGAACCCAGTCCAGATGGTTTTGGGGCTGGACCACAGGGTGAAGGGGCCAACAAGTACAAAGTACAAAGCATCATGGGAACTCCTTCAAGACTGTTGAAGACCATTTCAGGTCCTCTTGAAGCTCATCAAGAGAATGCCAAGAGTGAAGCAGTATCAGAGCAAAAGAATATAAGACATATTTTCAGTTGTTTCATACTTTTTTTTTAGAACGTACATTATTCCACATGAGTAAATGTATAGTGTTGAAGCCTTTAGTGTGAATCTACAATTTTCATAGTCATGAACATAAAAATAAAAACTCTTTGAATGAGAAGGTGTGTCCAAACTTTTGGTCTTCACTGTATGTGTATGTATTTTATGCTGTTTTCTTATATGTTTTATCTTTCGTGCCTTTGAAGCACTTTGGGAAGCTGGTGTTGTTGTAAATGTGCTATATATATATATAAAACCAACATTGACATTGAGTGTTCACTTTTGAGCATTTTGCACGTGGGCCATGAAGTTCACTGTTGGTCTCATCTGACCGCGTCACCTTCAAGATGTTAAAAACTGGCTTTGTATTCACCACTATTGCTCTGTGAAGCTCAGGTTTGTTTAGGGCATGGATAATATTTGCTGCATGTAGTAAGTAAGTAAGTCATCTTTATTTATGTAGCGCCGTTCACAGACCAGAATCACAAAGCGCTTTACAACTGGTCTCTCACTCCACACAGAGATGGGAGCGAGGTCGACATTGACATTTCCCCACTGTAGGACGAATAAAGGAACATCTTATTTTATCTTTAGTGGTCGGGGAAACAGGAGCATGCTCAGACACGGGGAGAACATGCAAACTCCACTCAGAAAGGCCCTGTTGCCACCAGGATTCGAACCCAGGACCATCTTCGCTAACCAATCAGCCTCTGGATTCCTCGGTAGCTCAATCCAAAGCTTATGGCACTATTTTGTTTAGTGTTTTGGGGTTTTATTTTACCATTTACCAACAAAATGTATGTTTGTAATGAAATGAGACGTTCTAGACCGGTAAATATTAATACAAATGTACCGGTCTAGACGTCTTATTTTATTACATAGAGCTAGTTTGGTTGGCTGCATTCATTTTGGAAATAATCTCATATTTTTGTACTCTTTTGTCAAAGTAAATGCACTGTTAAAAATTAAGTATGACCATCCATCAATCCATGTTCTTCCCCTTAATCCATTTCTGGGTCGGGGGGGTGGCCAGAGATGCCGTCCAGTCCACAGAGCACCAGCCCCTCACTGATCCTCCTGCAGGTGCTGAGTCCACAGGCAAAGTGGGGTTAAGTGTCTTGCCCAAGGACACAACGACAGCAAACATCAGTGGGAGTCGTGAAGTAGGTCTCATGGTGGGCTCGAACCCACAACGTTCAGGCCAAAAAGGCTCTACCAACTGAGCCACTGTCGCCCAAGTGTGACCCATTTTCTTTTACTTTGGTTTCAAACACACATTGACTCTTTGTGACAAAAACAAAATGTGCAAAACTTACCCATCCATATTAATAAATTAAAGGCAATTACATGTTCATCTTTGATTGTGAATTAGCTACTGAAAAATATAGTAACGCTCTGAAAGGGCGCTTCAGTCTCCTGCTGCTGATGGGCTGTTTGCCTGATTACATCTCTGTCCTGGGGAGAAATGTGTCGGATTGGTTTAACCTAGACATCACCTCACTTTATCTTCTCTGCTCTGGCGTGTAAGTAACTTTATAGCGCCAACACTGCCCAAGCTATTAGCAGGGAAAACACCATCACCTAATTATTTATGAAGACAATTATCCCCATGAATAAAAGCGGCACAGGTCAGCGAGGGCCTGGACAGGGAAGCAGAAGGTGGAGTGAGCTCTGACAAGATCACGTTGTCATTCAATGCGACGGAATTGCTCTATTTTTCTGAGCCTCAATGATTCAAAGCCCAGAATGCAGCCTGCCTCTGTGCAAAGATATTGGACCGTACATTAGCTTTGTCGACGGGGGAATAGCTCGACTGAAGTGCATTCCACCTGAGAGCCTGCCGTGGATCCTGCGCAGGCTTGGGCCCTAATGACACCATCTATTTCTCCAACAGAATAACGCTGATTTACAATTTATTCACATCTGTTACTCTGAAACTTTTGTACCTTTGCTATAGGGTACATTGTAGTAGTTGTTTGGATGTGTTGGTTTTGCAAAAGACCTTTTACAATCTGTTATTGCTGTTTGAATCTAATTACAACAAAAACCACCAGTGTCGACCGCCCTGTGCACCGAGTGCAGAGATGGGCAGATACTTTGAAAATGTATTTGTTTTGACATGATATTAAGTGTATTTTGTTTAGTATTCCATTAGTTTGGAAATATAGTAACTGTATTCTGAATACTTTAAATAATTTCTATTTTTAAAATATATTAAATATTTAATATTTATATTTATCAAATTAAGTTAAGCTAAGTTAAGCTTTCAGTCATACAGGGATTAGTCAAAGCAAAGGAAGGTCTTTAACCCATCATCTGTACTTTTTAGCAGGTTTTCCCGACGTTTCGTCCTTTACCGTGAACGACACAGAGGTTAAAATTCTGGCACGAGACAAAAATTGGTTTGGGAGAAGGGTGAAAGAAGCCATTGTTGTTAAGAAACACAAACCTTCTCTGAACAGAGGAGGGTTAAGATTTGTTTTACCTCGCATCTATGACAACGTCCTAAAAACAACGCCCTGACAATAGATAAGGTCTGTGACACACAGTCTCTGATGATGCAGTCTCTGATGATACAGTCCCTGATGATGCAGTCCCTGATGATGCAGTCTCTGATGATGCAGTCTCTGATGATACAGTCCCTGATGATGCAGTCTCTGATGATACAGTCCCTGATGATGCAGTCTGATGATGCAGTCTCTGATGATGCAGTCCCTGATGATGCAGTCTCTGATGATACAGTCTCTGATGATACAGTCTCTGATGATACAGTCCCTGATGATGCAGTCTCTGATGATACAGTCCCTGATGATGCAGTCTGATGATGCAGTCTCTGATGATGCAGTCCCTGATGATGCAGTCTGATGATGCAGTCTCTGATGATGCAGTCTCTGATGATGCAGTCTCTGATGATACAGTCTCTGATGATACAGTCCCTGATGATGCAGTCTGATGATGCAGTCTCTGATGATGCAGTCTCTGATGATGCAGTCTCTGATGATGCAGTCTCTGATGATACAGTCTCTGATGATACAGTCCCTGATGATGCAGTCCCTGATGATGCAGTCTGATGATGCAGTCTCTGATGATGCAGTCTCTGATGATACAGTCTCTGATGATACAGTCCCTGATGATGCAGTCCCTGATGATGCAGTCTCTGATGATGCAGTCTCTGATGATGCAGTCTCTGATGATACAGTCTCTGATGATACAGTCCCTGATGATGCAGTCTCTGATGATACAGTCTCTGATGATACAGTCCCTGATGATGCAGTCCCTGATGATGCAGTCTCTGATGATACAGTCTCTGATGATACAGTCCCTGATGATGCAGTCTCTGATGATACAGTCCCTGATGATGCAGTCCCTGATGATGCAGTCTGATGATGCAGTCTCTGATGATGCAGTCTCTGATGATACAGTCTCTGATGATACAGTCCCTGATGATGCAGTCTCTGATGATGCAGTCTCTGATGATACAGTCTCTGATGATACAGTCCCTGATGATGCAGTCCCTGATGATGCAGTCTGATGATGCAGTCTCTGATGATGCAGTCTCTGATGATACAGTCTCTGATGATACAGTCCCTGATGATGCAGTCCCTGATGATGCAGTCTCTGATGATGCAGTCTCTGATGATACAGTCTCTGATGATGCAGTCTCTGATGATGCAGTCCCTGATGATGCAGTCCCTGATGATGCAGTCTCTGATGATGCAGTCTCTGATGATGCAGTCTCTGATGATACAGTCTCTGATGATGCAGTCTCTGATGATACAGTCTCTGATGATACAGTCCCTGATGATGCAGTCTCTGATGATGCAGTCTCTGATGATACAGTCTCTGATGATACAGTCCCTGATGATGCAGTCCCTGATGATGCAGTCTCTGATGATGCAGTCTCTGATGATACAGTCTCTGATGATGCAGTCTCTGATGATGCAGTCCCTGATGATGCAGTCCCTGATGATGCAGTCTCTGATGATGCAGTCTCTGATGATGCAGTCTCTGATGATGCAGTCTCTGATGATGCAGTCCCTGATGATGCAGTCCCTGATGATGCAGTCTCTGATGATGCAGTCTCTGATGATGCAGTCTCTGATGATACAGTCTCTGATGATGCAGTCTCTGATGATACAGTCTCTGATGATACAGTCCCTGATGATGCAGTCTCTGATGATACAGTCCCTGATGATGCAGTCTCTGATGATGCAGTCCCTGATGATACAGTCTCTGATGATGCAGTCTCTGATGATGCAGTCTCTGATGATGCAGTCTCTGATGATACAGTCTCTGATGATGCAGTCTCTGATGATACAGTCTCTGATGATACAGTCCCTGATGATGCAGTCCCTGATGATGCAGTCTGATGATGCAGTCTCTGATGATGCAGTCTCTGATGATACAGTCTCTGATGATACAGTCTCTGATGATGCAGTCCCTGATGATGCAGTCTCTGATGATGCAGTCTCTGATGATGCAGTCTCTGATGATACAGTCTCTGATGATGCAGTCCCTGATGATGCAGTCTCTGATGATACAGTCTCTGATGATACAGTCCCTGATGATGCAGTCTCTGATGATACAGTCCCTGATGATGCAGTCTCTGATGATGCAGTCCCTGATGATACAGTCCCTGATGATGCAGTCTCTGATGATACAGTCTTCTTCTTGAACTCGCTGCCGTTCGTCGGGACCTTCTGGATGTGTAGCGTGTAAAACGTTTTCTTTGTTGTTGTTTTTTTTTCCTTAATGACGTAATATGAGAAAGTATGTATTCACATGATTTTCAGAAAGTAACATTATTCTAAATACTAGATATTAAAGAAGTAACTGTAACTAAATACAGTTACTTTGGAAGAGTATTCTGAATACATAACGGCATTACATGTGTTCTGTCACTGCCCAACACTGACGCAGAGCCAATAACACGAATGGACAGCATTGAAGTGTTGGAGCACATCTGTCATGGCTAATGTGCAGCTTATTGCAAACTAAAAAGATTCAATTTCACATTGAGCCACACAGATGTCGGGTGTTTTATTGACACATGAAAAGCCTGGCCTGTGCTCAGAAACATGACAACTGGGGACGAATGTGCGTTTGATGCTCCATAATGACATTTTGAGTAAACAGAGCTGAAGCAGATTTTTGGACTAACACGATTTTGGATTATTATTTTTAATCATAAGCCCCGCAAGAGTGAGAGTAAAGAAGCGTACTATAATAGAGATTTATAGCCATTTGGACACTGGAAGGACATTCCAACAAAGTGCCTTCAAAACAACCCTGGGAAATATCTACATCTGGTATAGACATAATGAAGTCCAGGTCTTTACCTCGGCATTGTGGGCCGAGAACATGAATTATAGAACTGTCCTGAGTTTTAAAAAGAGTTGTTTATCTTCAGATTGTACTTACCGGTCACATGCCGTTTTCACAATTCTACACACTTCTCCTCCATGTGCTGCTGTTTGTGCGTCCGTGTGATGGCAACTGTAGACTGCTATCGACGTACGTTCAGTCGAATTACGAATCTATTGTCGATTGTCAAAGACTCTAGCACCAAATGGTTGTGTGTCTAAATGTCATCCATGTGATCACCAGAGGAAGGCTTCGCTCCTCGACCATAAATATGGAAATAATGATACATTTAATGAATGGTGTAAAATGAAGACATTAACATTTAGCTCAATCACTGTCGCATTACCCTGGACATGTTTTAGAACCATGAGACAAATAGTTCAATGGATGGAAATTAGTGGCCCTATTTTAAATGAATGGAATTGGAAATAATACATGTGAGAAAATATTGGCATTTGGCACTTTTGGTTTGGATTTAAACTTGAATCAAACTTAGTAAGTCCAAAAAGTTCCTGGCATTGATTGAAGGCCATTATTACACCAGGCCTGGACCGTCACCAGTTTTTCCACAAACAGGAGGAGGCCATCTCCCACTCTCAAAGGGCTAATCCTTACATCTCATCACAGCACGGCTGAGTGGTTAGCACTCGTGCTTCTCAGCAGCTTATTTTTACTGCCATTGTATTGAACAGGAAGTCACAAACGAGGAACTTGTTTTGGCATATTGTTCAAACAAGTTATAAAACAGTAGAAAATACCTGAAATGTGACTGTCACTCCCCTCAAACCCAGAAAGGGATTAAAGGGAAGAAGATGGATGGACAGTTAACAGTCCAGATTATAAGTAAAGGACCAGAGGTATAATGTTCTACGAAGTTACATTAAATTACAGAACAGTGCCATTGTTCTGAAAATTATAATGAGAATAAAGTTGAGTCCAATTCAATCCAATCTCATGTACAAAAGAATATCTATCGCATTGGGCTGTAATTTATGGATTTCTATGGAACTCCTGGCCACATGGCATCACACCTATTTCTATCACAGTTTGCTCCCCTTGAGAGCTGCATCAGCCGTACAACAAACAATGCTAAACTGCCTTACTCAGCTGCTAAGAATCCCAGTACAAAATATATCATCACAGTTTCTACGGCAATCCAAAGCCCATAAAACACAAAGTCATAAAGATAACCCCATACAAGAGGCACCTGTGTGACTATAACAACCAGTTAGCTGCTATTCAAACTGACAGCAGATGGCCAATTTCATATAAGCAGCTTCTCCTGTAGGCAATTCCACTGCACCACTGCTTCACGAAGGTGTATAGTGTGTCTACAGCCATGATAATTCATACCATGTTGCTGCCAGCTGTTAGACTCACCTTGGTTGCCCTTTTCCGTACAAATGACACTCACACCCATAGAATCAGAATCAGAATCAGAATCATTTTTATTGCCAACGTAAGTAACGGGAGGTCACAGACTTGGAAATTGCTTTGGCTCAGTGCAACAGTCAAAAAGAGATAATAAAAATAAGAATAAAAAACACTTCTAAAGAATAAATTTAAATTTAAAATAGAGTTACAGTTACTATTTACAATATACAAGTGCACATGGTGCACACAATGTAAGGTGACAGCAGTACAGTGAAGTAAGGTGACGTATGATGGGCAGTAAAGTGACTTTATAAAGGGCGGGGGGACAGGTTAAGAAGTGTTCAAGAGTCCAACAGCAGAGGGGAAGAAACTGTTCTTGTGGCGGGAGGTTCTAGTCCTGATGGACCGCAACCTCCTGCCTGAGGGGAGTGGTTGGAATAGTCCATGTGCAGGGTGAGAGGGGTCGGCTGTGATACGACCAGCCCGGCCTCGAGCTCGGGCGACGTACAGGTCCTGCAGCGATGGAAGGCTGCGGCCGATCACTTCCTCTGCAGAGCGCACAATGCGCTGTAGTCTCTGTTTGTCCCTGACTGTGGCTCCAGCGAACCACACGGTGACGGAGGAGGTGAGGATGGACTCGATGATGGCCGTGTAGAACTGCACCAACATCTGTGCAGGCAGCTTGGCTTTCCTGAGCTGCCGCAGGAAGTACATCCTCTGCTGGGCCTTCTTGATGAGGGAGCTGATGGTCGGCTCCCACTTGAGGTCCTGGGTGATGGTGGTGCCCAGGAAACGGAAGGACTCCACAGAGGTGATGGGGGAGTCCATCACGGAGGGTGGGGGCGGGGGGACAGTGCTCTTCCTGAAGTCCACAATCATCTCCACTGTCTTCTGGGCGTTCAGCTCCAGGTTGTTACCACTGCACCAGGACACCAGCCGGTCCACCTCCCTCCTGTAGGCGGACTCATCGTTGTTGGAGATGAGTCCAATGAGGGTGGTGTCGTCCGCGAACTTGATCAGCTTCACGGAGTCGTGGCTGGAGGTGCAGTGGTTGGTAGGCATAGGCATGATTAATAAAAGAAACATGGCTGTCCAGTCCATCACTCATGTGCAATACATGCAATCACGCTGTATGGTAAGTACACATATTATTGAGCCTGGTCACGTAAGATTTTTACTGTGAAATAGGATGTATGAGTGAGGGAAGATTCCAAAGAGAGGGAGTCAATAACAGCAGTGGTTCCAAACACAAGAGGAACTGTTTATACAACCATCTGACGGCTATATCAAACTAGCCTGGTCTTACCACACCATCATACTCATTTCATTTCGTACTATTGTCTGGATTTGCTCCATTGAGCTTCATTAACAGGTGGGTGGGGTTAACTCCTTTTTCAGATCAAAACACTATTTTATTTTTTTTAACCAGGATTATTTTATTTAACCAGGAGAGTCCCATTAAGAACCCATTTTTCAAGGGAGTCCTGGACAAAAGTTACATACAAATTGACGTATGTAATGCACCCGAGTGAATGAGATGTTTAGCATTTAGCCTAGCTTTAGCCATCTCCACAGTCACTAACAGCCACAACCCCTTTGCATAAATAATTTGCTAAACATTCCGTTTCAATACACAATAAGTGCTTTTAAATTAGTACTTAAACCAAACTTTACACAAACATTTGACTCTTAAAACCCACATATAACAACATGGAACCATCAACATCACGCCTCATATTGCATTAAAAGTGACATCCGTGTCTTAATTTGTTCGTATTTAAACTTTTTTTTAAGATGGGATTGCTTTCGCTGCCGCGTGAGACACGCTTGAGAAGGCGGTGCAAACCCAACACAACACCGCCGATCCTGATTGGTCAATTATTTTCTGATCTGCTGAAGGAGTTTGCTGTGCGCTCGATACCAGAAGCGAAACGCCTCTGGTGGAGCATGACGGAACTGCAAGTGTCTGACGAGAGCCAGGCTGTCCTCCTTGTTCTTTTGTGGCAGTTCAACCCAGCTGTGGTCACCTGGTCTTCAACAGATCTGCTCCAGGTGTTGTGTGGTCTCACCCTCTTCCTTGCTCTCGATGGATCTATTTTAATGAATTCTGTGTAATTTTGTGTGTATAATCTTCATGAGTGAATGATCAGTCCAATTCCATTTTTCCTTCTGAACTTCAACTAGAGGGGAAAGTTTCTATGTCTTTTATTCTGGGTGATTTTTATCCAACATGTGTCAGTAGATGAGCTAGGGCTGGGCGATATGGCAAAAAGGTAAAATGTCGATTTTATTTCCTGCTTTGGATGATTTTGATTTTAAATCAATTTTCATTAAAGTTTGCCCTTAAATTTTTTCTTTGATCTTTCCGCTCAATAATCAAGTTTCAAAACCATTTTTATTTTGTTTCCCCCAATACATATTATAAAAGTCTTGTACAGAATGTGCTGATATTGCAAGAATGATTCATGTGCTGCTGGAACCCTCAGAATATCCTTCGTTCGATTTCACGATTTTCACATTTTTCACAAATTAGATTTTTTTCAAAAGCTGATTAATTTCCTAAATTCGATTTATTGCCCAGCCCTAGGATGAGCCAAACCGTATTAGCTCCACTTAGCTCAAAAAAGAAAAAAAAGTGAAGTTAGTAAAAAAATGTTTTAAACATTAGGCAACAATTAGGACGTTCACATCCTGTATTGAGCTGCTGAAGGAAATAGCATTTATTCATCCATCTAAGTCGTTAGAACTGGCATTAAGATCCATACAAATAAGATAAAATAAAATTTTAAAAATGTATTATGGGGGAAAAAGTGTTAATTTCCCTGTGGATCCATAAAGTTTGTCTAGATAAGGAAAGAAAAGATGGACTTTATTGATCTCACACTGAAAAAATTGACATAGATAGAATCACTCCGACTGTGCCAAAGACAGAAGTGTGCAACAAGTTAAAGGTTAAAAACATTGTCTGTGCAGGATATAATTATAAGTCCTAGTGCAATAGTATTTAAGTCTAAATTATTTTTAAAAATATCCGTAAAATGTTAATATCTGCTTTGACTTATGCTACTAACCTGTGCGTCCTAAAATACATTTGTGTATGTTCAGAGAGTGGAGTAAAGCAGGTTGTGTTTCCCTGTGTGTGTTTTTAGACAGTGAATGGAACACTGCACACTTCAAAGAGCAGCTGCATTACCTCGCAGCAGGAAGCGACCGGGCCCAGGAGAAACCACGGGGACCAATATCCACACACCCCACTCATTATTATCTGTTTTGACCAGTTATTTTAGCCACATCCAATTGTTGTCCGACCTCAAAGCCCAGGAAATATCCCTAAAATGGAGGGTTGCTGTTTATCTTTGAAAAAAGTCGCCCTCAAGAGCCAACAAGATGTAAACAAGCAAATGTGATTTAGAGATTACTCCCAAATGTAGCTTGTGCTGTGAGCCAATGCGTGTATCTGTGTAGGTCAAATACAGAATGGTCTTGACAGGACCAAAGAAAATATCTTTGTACTTTGGATTCCTACAGTAAAAAGAAAATCAAATCCGCTCAAATGAGAAAACTATTTAGATGTGTACGATTACATTATGCATTTGATGTAGAAAACATGTTCCCAATGCTTTGTTCTCAGCCTTAAAGGGATGGTCTGGAACTCTATAATTACACATTTTAAGACTTGTATTAAATTGACCTCCTGGCCTTAAATGTTGATATAAAATAAGTCATTTTTATAAATTATAATAATACGGGTAAGTCCTTCCTTAGTTTAGCTATAGCTCAAGTGAATCAAGTGAAACCGAGGGCTGTCAATCATCGCGCTCGTGCTCGAATATAATTCGAATACTAAATATATATATACTGTATATATTTGTGTAAGCCCTCAGTCGTACAGGGATTAGTCAAAGCAAAGGAAGGTTTCTCACCCATCATCTGTACTTCTTAGCAGGTTTTCTTTGGGATAACCTGCTAAGAAGTCCAGATGATGGGTGAGAAACCTTCCTTTGCTTATACTGTATATACATATGATCGAACGAATATTAGACAGGCATTAATATTCAAAACTGTAATGGGCATAATCTTAAATGATGTATATAAAGTAGTTAGTTCCCAAAGGTTGTCCCATGTGCTACTCCTTAAACGAAATACCCGGAGAAAGCCCTGCCGCCGCCATATACATGTATATGGAGAGAAACAGGCACACTGGGCTTTATGGGAATTGGACCAGCAAAAGTCTTGGTGTGAGGCCTGACCGCTTCATACCCACTCAGCCCCTGACCCATATTTCCAGTGAGAGAGTTCATGGGCCAGACTTTGCAAATATCCGTCAGCTTCCATCAGTGACCGTTTCAGAAAACGCAAAGTGGGAAGCGGCTCGACAGTTGAGTACGATGTGACGGGTTGCCTCTTTGTTAATGGACAGCAGCTGATGTGAGGTCAGCAGCGGGACGTGCGGGTTTGTTTGAGAGCCAACTCCAAGGCGGTTTTGATTGACAGGTGGTGGACTGAGGAGGTCGATGGTTTTGGACACGTCAAGCCGAGCGCGATCCACCGGACGTCAATATAAAAGGTGTAAACATGTTTGCTTTGTTTGTGGTCATGGTCTCTTTGCTTTCAACATGGCAACCCAAAAAGCCACTTCCTAATGATTTTTTCTTTTAAAGCGTTTTAGTTTGGTGTTTTGTGTCTGCATATCAAATGAGAGCTTGTCCAATTTATTTACGTATGAGGGAATTTTAATTTGATGAATAAATCTAATCGAAGGTTCTGTGCTGGTTGGAAAAAATTAACACAATCCCAGAGCATGAATATCTTTTATTGAATTCCGAATGAGGCATTGAAGTACTAGGGCACAGATTAAAATTCAACAGAAAATAGTAGCGGCGTTTATGATCACAAATTTGAACTGGTGTGAATGACATTAATAAACTACCTTCTGTGTGATTCATTTGCGTGATAATATAATTCATGTTTGTTCTCAACTATTTAGATTGTGTGTATGCAGAATATATATTTTTTAGAACGTTTTTACACTGTCAACATTCTGAAGAATTTGTCAAGACTTTTCCAATCCATAAGTTTAGTTTCTGCTTTGTTTGTCAGCACTTTGTGATTATCTTTACAGTGAAACATGCAGTTTTTTAACGGTCAGCTGAGTAGTGTATGTGTGTCTTCTATTGTGTCCTGTCATAGCTGTAAACCCTGACAAGTAAATTTTACTTGAAAAAACCATGGAAATAAATTGCGTATTAACTTAACTTGAATTCCTCGAGTACATCCTTTACTTGATATTACCAAGTAAACTCAAGTGATTGCAATAAAGTTTAAATTTCTACTTATGAGGAGACCGGGATTAGTACTCAGAACCTTGTAGTTGAGAGTCAATGGTGCTACCCACTCAGCCACCAGGACACCCTGCCATTGTCACACCTGCCTCATTAAAGGGTCTACACGTCAAAATGTCAAAAGTGAGGCTTACTTGAACAGAAACAGTTCAATTCAAAGAAAACCCTGAGTGACATACAGTAGGTCCCATTCCGTTTTGTCGTCTTCATTCACGCTTCTCGGGAATCACGCAGCTGCGTGAAAAATAGTACATCTTATCGCCACAAGGTGGCAGGCTAAGTCCGCTTTAGCTCTGCCAGCGACTTAGACGCTCAGGTATAAGACTGCGTGCAAACCTGTCTAGCCCAGAGGTGCTTTGTTGGCCGAATGGATAGCATTAAATACAGGGACCTCGAGAACCCAGGTTCGATTCTTGTCTGAGGCACATCTTTTGGTTGCTTGTGGCAAAATTGTTTTTTCATTAAACAATTATTATATAACATCTTGTCTTTAATGTCTGAAAAAATCTAGGTGAAATTCACTAGTGTTATACGTTAAATATTGTGATATGTTTTGATAAACCGAACGTTAAGTTACATCCTCCGCTCTGGCCCCGAGAGCAGCTGCTGTGACCCCCGCTCTGACAGCTCAGTGAACGCACTGCCGTCTGGGCTCCGAGCGCGGACCATAGACACGCGGACTCACGTCTCTCTCTCTCTGCTCGCGTCTCTCTCTCTCTGCTCGCGTCTCTCTCTCTGCTCGTGTCCCTCTCTCTCTGCTCACGTCTCTCTCTCTGCTCACGTCTCTCTCTCTGCTCGTGTCCCTCTCTCTCTGCTCACGTCTCTCTCTCTCTGCTCACATCTCTCTCTCTCTGCTCGCATCTCTCTCTCTCTGCTCGCATCTCTCTCTCTCTCTGCTCGCATCTCTCTCTCTCTCTGCTCGCATCTCTCTCTCTCTCTGCTCGCATCTCTCTCTCTCTCTGCTCGCGTCTCTCTCTCTCTCTGCTCGCGTCTCTCTCTCTCTGCTCGCGTCTCTCTCTCTCTGCTCACCTCTCTCTCTCTCTGCTCGCGTCTCTCTCTCTCTCTCTGCTCACCTCTCTCTCTCTCTGCTCACGCCTCTCTCTCTCTGCTCACGTCTCTCTCTTTCTGCTCACGTCTCTCTCTCTGCTCACGTCTCTCTCTGCTCTCTCTCTCTGCTCGCGTCTCTCTCTCTCTGCTCACGTCTCTCTCTGCTCTCTCTCTCTGCTCGCGTCTCTCTCTCTCTGCTCACGTCTCTCTCTGCTCACCTCTCTCTCTCTGCTCACGCCTCTCTCTCTCTGCTCACGTCTCTCTCTGCTCACGTCTCTCTCTGCTCGCGTCTCTCTCTCTCTGCTCACGTCTCTCTCTGCTCACGTCTCTCTCTCTCTGCTCACGTCTCTCTCTGCTCACGTCTCTCTCTCTGCTCGCATCTCTCTCTCTGCTCGCATCTCTCTCTCTCTGCTCGCGTCTCTCTCTCTCTGCTCGCGTCTCTCTCTCTCTGCTCGCGTCTCTCTCTCTCTGCTCACCTCTCTCTCTCTCTCTGCTCGCGTCTCTCTCTCTCTCTCTGCTCACCTCTCTCTCTCTCTGCTCACGCCTCTCTCTCTCTGCTCACGTCTCTCTCTTTCTGCTCCGTCTCTCTGCTCACGTCTCTCTCTGCTCTCTCTCTCTGCTCGCGTCTCTCTCTCTCTGCTCACGTCTCTCTCTGCTCTCTCTCTCTGCTCGCGTCTCTCTCTCTCTGCTCACGTCTCTCTCTGCTCACCTCTCTCTCTCTGCTCACGCCTCTCTCTCTCTGCTCACGCCTCTCTCTCTCTGCTCACGTCTCTCTCTGCTCACGTCTCTCTCTGCTCGCGTCTCTCTCTCTCTGCTCACGTCTCTCTCTGCTCACGTCAAGCTTTAAATAAACTAACAATAAATGAGTAATATCTACAGTACTGGGAAAAATCTATTTAAAATAACTTTGATATCTGAAGTACGATTGAAGTTAGGGTTTACAGTGAGATACAATGAACACATTTTGAAAATACATTTTGAAATTAAAAAGCAAATGATGTCTTATTGAGGATGTAAATCTTTGAAATTCAGAATAGATTGATTATTGTCAATCCTATTCTTGATAATTATACTGCACAAAAAGGGGAGACAGTAGTTCGGTTGGTAGAGCACTGGTCTTTGGGCCTAGTGGTTGAGGGTTCGATCCCACCACGACCCACGTCACCTGCTCCCACTAATGTCCACTGTTGTTTTGTCCCTGTGCAAGACTCTTAACCCCACATTGCCCGAAGCCCTCCGCTGAAAGACCAAGGCTGTATATCGTCGATGACAAAGACGCCATCATCCTGTGGATCCACCACCTGCAGGAGGATCAGAGGGTCTGGTGCTGTGAGACTTGGGTGGTAGCTCTGATTAACACCCCCGACCTAAAAATGGATAAATAGAGGTGTAGAAAATTGATTGATTGATTTTTATTTATTTGAGCATTTTACAAACATATTTTTCATTGTTACAAGGTTACACTGTTATAAAGTGGCTCAAAAGGAGTAGGCTGAAGCAAGAAAGCTTATTAGTGCCTACCCCCTGTTCCAAGTGATCACTTTAAGCTGCAGACAATAACCGTGAACACAGGCATCATACAGTTTACATACAATAAACACGAGTTCCTGAGTTACCCAGGCACATGCACATCAGAAGGTGCATGGGCCTGTTTACTTACAAGCAATTAGTGAATGATCATTTCCATACATAGACACACCCAAGGCTCTGTGGATGTGCTCATCCATGATCACAATCAATTCTACGATTACAGTTGTCCAGGTTAACCAAACACACGTCAGCATTGATTAGAAAAGCATTCATGATTATACAATATATCACAAGTTTTTCACACGACTACCAAGGTAAAATAATCATTATTATTATTTATGTGGGTTTATATATTCATATATACACATGCATACACATACACATACACACACACACACATATATATATATATATATAATATATATATATATATATATATATATAATATATATATATATATATATATATATACATACATATATACATACACAGACATATATATATAATTTTTTTATTTTTTTATTTATTTATGTTTTCTTCATTTCGTATGATAACCATATACCATCATTACCTAAGAATACCGATCACCAATCTTTTTACTGATCAGGATTTCATTATTATTTGCATTACATTTGTCATAATTTTTCTTTCTCAACAATACATAATCATGATTATAAGTCCCCTTACCATCATTCCCATTTTAGAATCACATAATTTATTTGCACTACACATTTTTGTAGAATGTCCTCTTGCCGTCATTCTCGATTCACTATAAAATATTGGTTGTGACTGTAGAATTACTTTTTGTTGTTTGCCTTTTTAAGTGAGATGCATTAAAAAGCAAGGGCGTGACGTGGCCAGTTGGCTGAGGGCAGAGACCCCCCCATCAGCTACTCACTCCCTGCTGCCCTAACTATGTATTGTGTAAGGTTTTATGTCCTAAAACCTTACACAATACATAGTTGTGTAAAATGACATGACATTTTACACAAACAGGAAACTAAATATTGATAAGATGTGGGGTAACTAAGTAAAAATGAAGATAAAAATTTGAATCATGAGAAGACAAAAGTAATTGCCACAACATTGAGGGACGTCTTCTTCAGCAGCAGTGACGCAGGAGACTGAAGGTCTTCAGGAAAAGAAGACTCTTTGTACTCCACTTAAGGTATTCTTATGTCTTCTCCTTCTTCATCCTGTGTGTCCTTGCCTTTGAGTTGGTAATGGAAAAAGTATATTTCCTGGTTTAAACAAGTGTCTTATCAAATGCATGCTTCCATCAACACGTCTCGACAAAATGTTTGAACTAAAAAGTGGGTCTCGGTCCGGTTCTTTGGTCCGGACCAGGATTCGTTTGTGTGTATTCAGACCTGCATAAAAGGTTCGTATCAGAGTTCCAAACGAATCCTGGTCCGTTTAAAGTGGACCAAATGTGCAGGTCTGAATACACCCTAAGAGGAATTACTTAAAGGTCCCAGATTTTGCTCTCTTCACATTGCATCCTCATTTTTTGTCTTTGGGCCAAATATTGTTGTCACATATACACACCTGAAAGTTGACATGATGGACTCACTTTCAGTCAGTGACAAAAGCAGAAAAAATGCAGAACTCTCAGATCTAAAGCGACACGGGGCTCAGGAGAGAGGCCGCATCCGCTGATTCACTGTTTTGATGTCTGCCCCTGTCAATCATCTCCTGGAGGCGGACTTTTCCAGCTCTATGCTTTTCCAGCTCTATGCTTCTCCAGCTCTATGCTTCTTCAGCTCTATGCTTCTTCAGCTCTATGCTTCTTCAGCTCTATGCTTCTCCAGCTCTATGCTTCTCCAGCTCTATGCTTCTCCAGCTCTATGCTTCTTCAGGTCTATGCTTCTCCAGCTCTATGCTTCTCCAGTTCTATGCTTTTCCAGCTCTATGATTCTCCAGCTCTGTGCTTCTTCAGCTCTATGCTTCTTCAACTCTATGCTTCTCCAGCTCTATGCTTTTCCAGCTCTATGCTTCTCCAGCTCTATGCTTCTCCAGCTCTATGCTTCTCCAGCTCTATGCTTCTCCAGCTCTATGCTTCTTCAGCTCTATGCTTCTCCAGCTCTATGCTTCTCCAGCTCTATGCTTCTCCAGCTCTATGCTTCTCCAGCTCTATGCTTCTCCAGCTCTATGCTTCTTCAGGTCTATGCTTCTCCAGCTCTACTGTATGCTTCTCCAGCTCTATGCTTCTCCAGCTCTATGCTTTTCCAGCTCTATGATTCTCCAGCTCTGTGCTTCTTCAGCTCTATGCTTCTCCAGCTCTATGCTTCTCCAGCTCTATGCTTCTCCAGCTCTATGCTTCTTCAGGTCTATGCTTCTCCAGCTCTATGCTTCTCCAGTTCTATGCTTTTCCAGCTCTATGATTCTCCAGCTCTGTGCTTCTTCAGCTCTATGCTTCTTCAACTCTATGCTTCTCCAGCTCTATGCTTTTCCAGCTCTATGCTTCTCCAGCTCTATGCTTCTCCAGCTCTATGCTTCTCCAGCTCTATGCTTCTCCAGCTCTATGCTTCTTCAGCTCTATGCTTCTCCAGCTCTATGCTTCTCCAGCTCTATGCTTCTCCAGCTCTATGCTTCTCCAGCTCTATGCTTCTTCAGGTCTATGCTTCTCCAGCTCTACTGTATGCTTCTCCAGCTCTATGCTTCTCCAGCTCTATGCTTTTCCAGCTCTATGATTCTCCAGCTCTGTGCTTCTTCAGCTCTATGCTTCTTCAGCTCTATGCTTCTCCAGCTCTATGCTTTTCCAGCTCTATGCTTCTCCAGCTCTATGCTTCTCCAGCTCTATGCTTCTCCAGCTCTATGCTTCTCCAGCTCTATGCTTCTCCAGCTCTATGCTTTTTCAGCTCTATGCTTTTCCAGCTCTATGCTTCTCCAGCTCTATGCTTCTCCAGCTCTATGCTTTTTCAGCTCTATGCTTTTCCAGCTCTATGCTTCTCCAGCTTTATGCTTCTCCAGCTCTATGCTTCTCCAGCTCTATGCTTCTCCAGCTCTATGCTTCTTCAGGTCTATGCTTCTCCAGCTCTATGCTTCTCCAGCTCTATGCTTCTCCAGCTCTATGCTTCTCCAGCTCTATGCTTTTTCAGCTCTATGCTTTTCCAGCTCTATGCTTCTCCAGCTCTATGCTTCTCCAGCTCTATGCTTTTCCAGCTCTGTGCCACGTCACAAATCGAAGAATGAAAGAGAAAGATTGCTCTCTATCTAAACCTTGAGGGAATCAATGAAAAACTTCACTGGGCATGTGCATGAAGCCAAAGAGCACTTTAATGTTTAAGGCCGTGAAAAGTTGAAAAACGTAATATAGGACGTTTAAAAGGGAATTGTACATTCCAACATGGATGGCATTTGTTGGAAAAGAGCAAAAGATGAGTCCAAAGCCCCATAACTTTAGCCTTAAAATCCTCAATAATGTTTAGCTGAAGTTCAGAAGTATAATAAATATAATTAGATATTGTTGATCCTAGGAATTGGAATAAATATGTAAATAATAGATCAGCAGTGCAGTGTGAGATGAGTTTACATTTAGAATTGTGAATAACAATCTTGGGAATATAAAGATAATGGATAATGCAGGATAACATTTAGAGGATTCAACTTCTCCTTCATAGTTACATGCGATTAGCAAGTTTTACCTTTTAAAAAATGTGTTGCCATTTATTTTCTAGTGGAGCTTTTAATTTCACACACAACCCTTTAGGCACCAGAGGTTTTTTACCTAAAAGTCTCAATTTTGACATCTTGATTTCTTAATAACTTAAAAGTGAAAAGAGATAGATGCTTTATGTAAATTAGAGACATTATAAGGATGGACCAAAGTGTATGTAGGAATTAAATGTTCTCATCTAATTTGCATCATATGGTGGTGGCAATCATGGATTTTTAGGATTTTTTTTTACTGACAGACACAAATCACTCTGACATGACCACACAAACAGCAATCATTCTTTGCTCTACTCAAGGGTCAGGGAAATAGTAAAACAATGCAAGTCTGTGTGTGGCAGAGAGTTTGAATGAATTTTGCCACCCAATTGGTCATTGTAAACAATATCGCACATTGTCAACCATGGCGCCTAGAGGGTAAAAGCATGAAATAGCAAAATAGAAAGTCCTTGGATTAAACGTTGGTAAAACCTGCAAAGAAGTACAGATGATGGGTGAGAAACCTTCCTTTGCTTTAAGATAAAATATCTTTCAATGACCAAAAATAATGCACAATAGTTATTCTTCACTGGCCTACGGTTACTTCGCTAACCCAAACAGCAGCGTTGGCGATAGACCGCAAATATGAGGTCTATGTTGGTATTTACTACGAGATACTCTGTATGGCGAATGAAAGCGAACCTTGGCAGCATCTTTGCCTTAGCTACTTTGTACCCCACCGAGGGTCTGACTTCCCCTTTAAAGGCTAAGTTAGCGAGATCAAAAGGTCCTACCCTGAGCTCTACATGCCACTCAATGATGCACAGTGTGAGCGGTAACGACAGAAAACCGGCAACATGAAAAAGCGTTCATTGCTGTGTCTTATCCCTGTCTTTATACACTGTACAAAACTAAACACAGGTACGTTAATCTTGTTAGTGTGTGCGTGGCCTGGCTTCACAATAGATCCTTTTGTTCCAGCAGACCTAACAACATTTAAACCACGATTATTTTGAAGATGGATACTTTTGCGGCGAGTGGTGTTGCCTAATACTTGCGAGAAGAAAGAGAATCAGAAAAGAGGTTGTGTCTTTAATCAAGTTCAATGAAAAACGTGTGATCGGTTTGAAAGAAAATTGTCAAACTGGTGTGTCATAGTTCAAACACACATGTAGGGTTCAAAAGAAGGAGAGTACGTTGGACAGATTTATTACGGTTGGAATGGTTCGCTAATGATGGTAACAAGAGTCAAGAATTGATTTGCCATGTGCAGTAAAACCACATTGGAAAAACCGTGCAAGACTACCCCAGTGTGTACCAGACAGAGAAGACGGCACACACCAGAGCTCTTGCCATAAAAAGATGTATGTAAGAAAAATATTAGTTGTTGTCATGCTGTTAACTATCAGATATTCTTGTGTTTCATTAAACTGGCCAGTAGGGGGCGATTGAGCAGAGATGGGACAGTTTTGCTCCCATTGAAAACCATTTAAAGTCTGTTTTGCAGTCAAAGGCTCTCCTCCTGTGCGGTGTACGGTTGTTGGAACAGTCTTAATCGGGGACACTCAATTCTAAGGCAGTACTAACAAATATTTCTCAAAAGAGTCTTGATTTCGGGCATTTTTGGAAAGAAAAACAGAAGAAATTGCTGCGTTTCATTGGGGTGGCCTGTAGGGGGCTCTTATCTGGGAAAGCCTTGATCCACCTCGCCCGCCTCATTCCAGTGATTTTTTTAAAGTGTCCTCCTTTATATGAGACCACAGTTGGAACATGAACAAACTCTGGTCTTTCTCTCTATTTGTGCGGTTGCTACAAACGTACACTGCACAAAAAGATGGCATTTAGACAGCGCTTCTTCTTCTACTATATCTCCGTGTATAAACCCGGCAGACTGCTCCGCCAGGATACAACACGTCCTGTCCCACGTTTGTTATTCGCGCCACTGCCCTGACGTCATATGAAACCCAAGAATAGGAAAACATTGGCAATGATTGTAATATTTCATGGTTCTGTGGTCCATGGATAAAAAGGGAGTTAGGTCTAAAGATGAACTTAAAAAACAAGTAGTAATACAAATTAAAACTAGGTCCAGGACGTCTAATGTTATGTTTTTGTTATGCTTGTTTATTCTCGCCAAATAAAGTGAGTTGTTTTCTCCTGCAGCGTGCCCTCTGTGGCTGACAGTAGCTTCAGAAGAACTCCCTCTTCTTCTTCATCAGCTGTTTGTTCCAATGCTTCGGTCTTTTGCTTCTTCTGTGTTCAACCCTGCTCCACTTTCAGATCTACAGGGTTTCAAGATGACGGCTTTATTCGAGACTTGGTTGCTGCTTTCTTCCATTTCAAGTTTTCGCTATAAAAACCTTGCAACTGTGTTTTCAATATGATTTCATTGTTCAAGGATTTCAGTCGATATTATAGATGTCTGAGCCCAGTTCTTTGTGATGACACAAATACCTTAAGAATTCAGCGTGCGATTGGTAAGCTTTTAACACAGTCTTTAGAAAACTCATACGGCTGAGCTGCTCCTTCACTTTTGACAATACCATTTGCATCTGGTTGTTGGTAGAGTTGAATCCTGCTGAATGCATTCATTCATTTAATGTGGGAAAACTTATGGAGAAACTTAGGTAAATAAAAAAAGAACGGTACAGCTGAATGGATAGCACGCTCGCCTCTCAGCAAGAAGGTCCTGGATTCGAATCCCGGTCGGAACAGGCTCTCCCTGAGTGGAGTTTGCATGTTCTCCCCGTGCCTGCGTAGGTTTCCTCCTGGTACTCCGGTTTCCCCTACCACTAAAAAAACATGCTCACCAGGTTAAATCCTCCAGCTCTGGTCCTGACCAAGCCGAGCATCAACATCTGGAGATGGGTTCCCGGGCGCTGTTACTACGGCAACCACTGCTCCTGATGGAAGCCTTCGCGGCATCAGGATGGGTCAAATGCAGAGGATTGAATTGCCCTACGGGGATTCTGGATTGGCGACAGTAGCTCAGTTGGTAGAGCATTGGCCTTCAGGCCTGAAGGTTGTGGGTTCAATTCCCACCTCTACACCTTCTCCATTGACTCCCACTGATGACTGCTGTCGTTGTGTCCTTGGGCAAGACACTTAACCCCACTTTGCTATGCTCACAGGCTATGCTCACACTCAGAGAGCAGCCGTCCTCCTGTGGACTCACCACCTGCAGAGGGTCAGTGAGGGGCTGGTGCTATGAGACTTGGGTGGCATCTCTGACTGCCACCCCCCTGACCCAGAAATGGATTAAAGGGTAGAAAATGGATGGATGGATTCTGGTTTTGACCATAGACTGTAAATATTAACGGACGTAGTGACGCCTACCTCTGCCATTTAAACTCATGTGCCACCACTTTTGCCTTTTTCAAAATGGCCGTGGGCAAAATGTGAAAAAACTAATTTGTGCATGTATCAGCCCCATTCATTTAACGGCCGCATTCTGATGTCCACAGCGGCTAAACTAGACTGGTTCAAAAAAAATCTTTCCTCAACATTGACAGAATCTGGAACGTAGCATTGAGCCAAGAGCAACTTTTGGACCATCCTGTAAAGACGTGTTTGAGAGGAAAAAAAAGACACCATACAAAAGCATTGGGTAATTCTTTTTCCGGGTACACCCCCACCATCCCGGAGTGAGATTGTAGCATGTCAGCGCACGTGGACCTTTTAGAGCCAGGACTGCCCCCACTGGTTTTGACACTCACACTCTTGTCTCTGGTTTTTTTTTCCAGGCACTTTTCTCTTTTAACAGACATGTTTTATAAAACTTTGGCCATTTCCAGTTTTATCATTGCAAGTGTCAAACCAATCTCATCCTCTTGATGTTTGTCAATCAAAGATGACTGGTTTTTCTTGTCTGTCAGTCCAATGAACCTGGACCTGGTTTTCTTGTCAAGCTTTGTGTATGCAATTCATGTGAAATAAAAATGAAACATGACAGTGTTAAAAAATACAACACAAATCTATGCCTCACACTTTGCTAGACCCCTCCTCCCCCAACCGCTTTCATCTCTCCTTCTCAATCCAGCCACTTTTACTGCGTTATACCGAAACTCTTGAGCCCTATCCTGTAATTCCATATGATTTTTCCACTATGCATAATCCCCTCCTCTTCCCAGGCGGTATTCCCAACCAAGGCCATCCCAGGAGCCCTGTAAGGAAGAGCTGCAGTAATCCGACAGGACACCAATACAGGTTTACCAAATCCTCAAATGCACCGCTTTAGAATCACACGGGGGTCCAGGTTATGTACAGCAGGGGTTCCCAAAGTTTTTAGCCCGCGACCCCCATCATAAATGCGCTGCTCCTCCGCGACCCCCCACCTCAACAGTCCTTCCCGTCAATGAGCATGTATTTCCTTGATACGGAGTAATGCAGAGACTCGCGCCACTACTGAGCTGCACTGTCCAGCCCAAAAAAGGAGGCTTGCGTATTTTTACTCACGTAGTGACACAGTGATGGGCTTGGTGGGCTCCCTCCTCAGCAGAAGTGGAGCGCATTTCTTGCGGCTCGCCCTCTCTGTTCTCATA